GTTGCTGTTAACTACTTTGATTGCCTAATTTTTAAATAATTTTCTCACTGTCCATGGATAGATTAAGCAATGTTTTATGTCACATATAGCACACTAAGAGAAAACCACAGTGGCTCAGAAATGGAAGGCTATGCTGCTGTTTCCTGGGCTTGTACAAGATGCATGCCTTGCTTCTTGTAAATGACTTTGTAAAAGACAGGTATATGTGTATGACAGTCAACTACACTTGAACAGTAAGCCTACTGAGCACCATCTATCTCTACATGGTATCTGCAGTAGATAACTGTTAATCACTAGTCTGTGGATCAACTAATCTTCTGCATTCAGACAGTAGCAATTCATTGGAGAAAAAAAGCACAAAATAAATCACAAGGGTTTAGAAATGAATTAATAGATGAACGGATGGCAAGATAAATTACACAGACCCTAGGATAGAATCTTTGACATATGACTAAAAGCAGTTCTAAGTAAAAGATTTCTATGAAAAAACTGAGAGTTTTCAAGTAACGGAGGTTCTAAGTGAAAAGGATTTGCACCACTGAAAACACACAGAGATATAACAAAAAACATGGTTCCTTTCTACTGTCCCAACAATAAAAATAAGTCCATAAGATTAAGTAGCTTTCTAATTGGTCTCTTTGCTTCCTATTCATTCTTTTTCGAGTAAATATTTTCCCTCATTTAAAAAGAAAAAGGAAAGATATACTCATAAAACTACTGATATTATATTAATATCCATCTACTGTCATTAAATGTTTTTATTGGCCTAGATATTTTTACACAGATAATTATACTGGATTTATAATAACGGAACTTGGATATATTTTTTGCATAATCTGATGTCTTAGGTATTTTCCCATGTCACTATATAATCTTCATTATCAACACTATTAGAGGCTATACATATTTCATCCAGAGGATATAACTGTATTTTCCATTGTTGGACATTTAGCATTTAATAATATAAATAATGTTGTGCTAAACATCTTGGACATACACTTTTTACTTTTTTCAATCCCCAGTGCATCAGTAAAATGATGAAGTTGGACTAGCTAATCTCTAAACCCTTTTTCAATCTTAAGTTTCCAGAAGTGTGATATTCTCAATGATTAGTATGTTAACCGTTTTCAAATACTAATCAGAATCTACAAGATACACAGAATATTGAAATAGATGCTGAGGATGTTAAATAATTTTTTTTTCTCTAAAGGAGTCATCTAAATTTTCATACTTGGACATAATCCTTAAGAGGTTTTGTGATCCTACTATCAGTATATCTTGGAAAACAGAATTTCTTCTTATCCTATTTCAGAATCGTCTGAGGGAAGGTTCAGCATTTTGCTCCACTGATTCTCAAATGATGTTGTGCATAAAAATGACCTGAGAAACTGTTAAAAATGCAGATCATTGGTTCCACTCCTAGAGTCTGATTCAGTGTGTCTGTAAGGCCTAGGGTACACATTAAAAAAAAAAAAACAACCAGATAATTTTTACCACATATCATGCATCTATCCAATCAATCTAGTAGATGAAATATTGAGAATATAATAGACAATTAATGGGCTTGCTGCACTAGAGTTACATTTTAGAGTACAAACATTGAAGAGAATTAAGGTATTTTTTTCCTTCACGTTATTTCAGTGCTCCTAGCATAGTCTAGGGGAGCTCTGGTAGCATAGTGGCTAAGGCACTCGACTGCTAACCAGAAAGCTGGCAGTTCAAACCCACCAGCCACTCCTCGGAAGGAAGATGGGGCAATCTACTTCCCTAGTGGTACTGCCTCGGAAACCCAAGGAGGGGTCGCTATGAGTCGGGCACGGCTCGACAGCACGTAACATAACACATAACAGCATACTCTAGGAGCTCTGGTAGCAGAGTGCCTAAGGCACTTGACTGCTAACCAGAAGGCTGGAGGTTCAA